TGAAAACTTCACTTGAAACTTATCTTTTGCAAAATCTGCAATCACATTAAAGCCATCTCAGCTCTATTGTCAAAGTACAGAGACAAGGTTAAACTACAGTAGTGCTACTGGAAACATCTGAAAAGGTATCAAACAGTGGGAGTGCGGAGTTCTCCAAGGACCCGTTCCTGAACCTGCTTTCCCTATAATATCTCAGAATATGGAATACATGCAGGTCCATAACTAAAGTCAGAGTTACTGAAGAATGCTGTGAAGGGATTAGGGTCCCATATAATCATTAAATGGTAGCTGCCTGCAAATATATTACATGTAGGTTCCATATACAGGCTTGTTAGATCCATCTCAGCACCATGCCGTGCATCTTAAAGCATGAGCCTCAGTAAAAGAAAGGAACAGGAGTGTTTGCCTTCATTTTATCAGTATGCCACAGTGTAAGCTTTCTCTGCAGCCAAAAATCAGCCAACAGTCTCATCCAGAGCACAAAGCACACTTCAGTGAAGTGCAGTGTTGGGTGTAATGAGTTACTGCAATTAAATTACTTTTCCAATGAAAAAGTAATAATTACTGTTCATTTTTAGGTATTTTAATTACAGTTACTTACAATGTACTTGCGTTACATTGTAAAATAATTAAACTCTCTGAATATCATTATTTAATTTCAATAATGTGTCTTCTAAACGTAGAAGTAAACTCTGCCGCTTTAACATCGCTGTAGTGCAGCTGCACGTCATTTCGCCAGTTTGCTGCATAGTCGTATCCTAAAGCGGAAGATGTCGGACTCGGCTGAAGCGAGTGGCGGTTTTATGAAATTGACACACTCTTCACTTTTCTGAAACAAGCAGACAAGAACATTACAGTAATATGTAAGCTGTCCTGGGGAGACAAACCCCCCCCCAAAAAAACCAACAACTGTCGGCCGTTGTTAATAGCACGAGTAATCTACTGAAGCGCCTGACACGAGAGCATAGACGAACACTTGATCCTTGTTAATCATCCATGGATAACACCACGGCAACTCCTGCTAAGCAGGCAAAACTAGATTTTACTTCAGCAGCACAGAAAGTGTCTGAAGGTGAACTTAAAAAAAAAAAAATTGCAGGCTACGTTATGGAAGAGATGCTACCGCTGCGTACTGTAGAGTCTCCGTCTTTAAAAAAATGTATTTATTATTTAAAGAGTTTAATTTCTATTGTTTGTCCACTCAAGGTTTACAGGGATTTTAAGAAGTATTTAGTTAAATTACTTATTTAGTAATTAAGTTACTTTTCTGACACAGTAATTAGATAAGCATTTTAAATACAATATTGACTAATTAGTAATTAATTACTTTTTAAAGTAACTTACCCAACACTGGTGAAGTGATTAGACGAAAAGATTGCTTTCAGGGAAAATGTTCAATGCTTTAATTACTAGTAAGTAAAGCTGTTGTGTTGCACAAGTATGCAATTCAACGGACCAATAAAAATGAAAAAGTAGGAGATGTTTATTGCACGGCCACATGTAATGCTTCTGCTCCAAAACCAACCCCCTCATCTTCTCAATAATGTCAAACTAAACTCCAGTTCAACAATAGTTACGGTCAATATTTACTGAAGTCTACAGAAGTTCTCAAGCAAAGGATGTGTCTTATGTGGTTTAACTAGATTTCTACAAAAGGGGAACCAGCAGTTAAACAACTGAACTGGAGAATATTTGGTCCCGGTGCCAAAACAATCAAAAGACTGTTTCTTTGAGTAAATGTGAATAAGAGGCCTCCAGTCACTGAAGAGGAATCATGGAACTGGTGAAATCCTTCATAATCAAGCCTCAAAAGTTCAGAGTACAAGTTTATTTCCTAAGGATGTTCATTTCACAATACTGTGCAAGTCTTTCATGAAACTGGCACAATCAGCCTTTTCCATTATTCATGTCAAGATTAAGCCAGTCCAGCATATTTATTTATTTATTTATTTATTTATTTATTTTTAAACCAGTCATCCCATCAATCTGTAAGCATAGTTCAACTATGACAGTCTGGTTAATACTGAAAGGAGGGTGTTACACACAGTACAGTTTGTATACTTGTTTTTAGGGCTTCTTCATAATTTAGGTTTCTTTTGGTTCCAGCTTTCGTTTTGGGTATGTAGTTGCATTTTCTAAGTTATTTAATAATATCCGTCCCTGCTTGGGGATTGTAGATTGAAATTAGTAGCCAACTTCATCTCTCATGAAATTAAGGTTTTAGTTTTATTCTTCATCAGAAACAAACAAGATTTCAGCCTGAGGCCATTTTCAGAATTTGGACCCATTAGGCTCAGCAGTGATAAATGTCTTGAATTACAATTACACTATGGTAAGAGCTTGTTTGGCCTTTTTGACCCAGTGTTACATAATGCTGCCGGTGTTACGAGCCAGGCCCAGAGTGATGTGGGCTGTAGTATGACTGGTATGCAGGTACTCAGGATGTTGAATTAAGAAAAGCTTCATTCATCCATCAAGGCTGGCAGGTTGGTGTGACAACTCAATCACATGCAAGGACTTCATACAAATTCCATTTTCAGAATCGGAGACAAGACAGCTGCACTGCATTTGTAAAGACCTGTTCATGCCTTTTTATGATAACAGAAATAAGTCAGGATTCAATAACTTGGTCAATAAAGAACAAGGACTGATGACGGCAATAGTATCAATTAAATCATTGTCCCAAAGGGTTGAGGTCAGAGATCTGGAGGGATAAACTGAAGCACTTTCTCGGAACCAGACCAAATCCCTGCAATCAGCTTCCAAAATCTTGTGGCAGATCTTTCCACAGCAGCCGAGGTCAGCCACAGACTTGCTCTCATGATTTAAAAATGAAATGAAAACCTTTAACAATCTCATGGTTGGTGTTGTGTCCATTCAGCTACAGCACTAACAGTCACGCTCCACTCAGTGCAGAGAAATGAAGACTGCACAGGGTGGGACTTAACCCCCAGGGGGGGAAAACCCAAACAAAAACAAGAGCTGGGGGTTACTTTCAGCAGCAAAACGCAACAATGGAGTGGAAGAGGGATCAACGTCAGGATCCGACACTTCAGCTGTCAGGATGAAACACTTCCCAACGCAGGAGGAGACAAAGCTGCAGCTGAGATGTGAAGGAGGACGATGTTGAGACTTGCCAAAAAGGTGCTGAAAAACTGGATCACAACACCGAGTGACTCAGCTACTGTTCAGCTGTCAGACTACTAATACAAACAGACAGCTGGGGTTTTGGCTGGCATGGATACAGATAGAAACCAAGACACAGTGGGAGCACACACCATGGAAACATGCTTGGAAAACCGTAGAATTAGACTGAATTTATTCCATCTTCCAGCTGTTTGTGTTTTGGTGGCTAACCTGTGAAACCTAAGATCCTTTTTACCTTTTCTTTAATAGAGTCACATTTGAAATGAGCAGCAGGGGGTATGAAGCAGAAAGGAAGGGAAGCAATTGGCTTAACAAAAAAAAAAACACAAAAAAACAAAAACCAGGTGGATGTGTGAACACAATGAGGTGGTGTACACATTCTCAGAACTGCTGAGGTTTGGCACCTCCCTGCTTTCCATTTTTCCTAATACTTTTATGCAGTATTAATGTCTTACTAACTGTATTGTGTTTTAGGGCTTCAAATGTCCAAACTACAAAAACAGCAGAGCTTTTAAAGCCACTTTGATGGAGATTCACAATAGTGACTGAAATGAGAACTGACAGGAGTGTGCACAATTTTCTCACAATTCATCAAGAAACCACTCTACCTCTGATGGGATGTTCCTGCTGCTGAATAATTTGGTTTCTCTTCATGCAAATCTGAAGATTTACTTTTCCCTCCATGTTCTTTCCATGTTACAACTAATAAAATATTTCATTTTGTTTAGATTAACACCGCATTTGCATTTTTTAAGATCATGCAGTCCAGGGTTTCTGTCAGCATATTTCAAGCCCGGCAGCCCACAGAACCAAAGCACTGGGAGTGGTTACCATTTATTTTTAAGATGCTTTAACATAAGTGAATGCTTGCTTGGCTACTTCCTGAACTTGTAGCTCTTATGTTCTTGACAACCCTACATTACTTTTTAATTCATGCTGCAAGTGGGGGGAAAAATAAAAAATAAAAAATAAGGTATGCTTGTGAAGAAGCAGTAATGTGAGAACCACAGACAGCTCTGCTGTTCCACTAATCCACACAGTGTCATGTGGTTGGCCATACAGCTTTTATTGAACAAGACCATCTGACCAGACTAAAAGTAGGAAAATACTTTAAAAAAGAAAAAAAATCCAATCCAGAGGCTGGACACTGCCCAAATACTCCATGCACCATCTCAAGCCATCACTCATAAGCATGCAGTGTTGTGTTTAACATTAATGACAAGTCAATGTCATTAGCTCACCAAGTGTGTAGCTAATGTTTGTGCAACAGCAGCATTGTTTTCACTAGCAAAGATCCACCCTGTCAGTTTTTTGCCAGGCCTGTGGTACCGTCTCCACACTCTTGACTCCCTGTTTATAAATGGTGGCTGCAACTAAGTTCTGTTGTGTATACAAATTAATGACAGTTGCTAACACGAGAAAACAAATGCAGAGAACAGAACATCGCCTTTGCATGGGATAGATAATAATTACAGTATGTGTGCAGATGCTTGTCCAAACATGAGAGATTATTAAAGAGCTGGATGAAATTCATGTCACCAAAACAAAACTGTATGGCATCTTTACAAGCGCTGGACCATTTTACAGTACAAGCTTGTACGCAGATCATGACTTGTACCATCAGACTTTATAAACAACTGCTGCTGGCACATTTCAGATATATCTGAATACTGCTCGTACTTCAAATGCTCACAAATCATTAGTATTTGTTTCAATTATATAAACATGTCAAAATTTATGTTGTAGCATTCAAGTTTGCAGCTTTGGTGAGATTTGCTCCAGGGTTCAGCCAGGTGTAAACACAGATGAAGTGCCAAAACACAACTCAAGCCCGCGAGGGTGCCGTGACTCACCAGGTCTGCAGCGCAAGCCGTCAGCAGTCAGCTCCTGGCCCTCAGGACACACGCAGGTATATTTGGGGGAGTGTTTGTTGATCTGTGGTGCAGGCAGGCACATGTAGCTGCAGCCTCCATTTTCACCTTTCTCTGAGCACCAGTTAGTACCTGCACACAAAGGTTAGCAAATAAAAGCTAATCAAACCATTTCAGTTAACAAGTGTCACATGGGTACATTAAATCCACAGTGCAAGGAGCTTTAACGGCCTCTTCTACTATGAAGTATATCCACAGGTTGACGGAACAAAATGAGGGCTTAAGTCTCATCCATAGTGTGATCGTCGACATTTTCATCCTATGGATCTTCGCACACATGATCATTATAAACCAAGAGGACACATTTTGATAGACTAAGTGTTTAAATATTACAGATTAACCACAAAATATCAAGAAACTACAGCTTCTAAGTGTACAAAATTAAAGTGGTGGTATGTATTGCATACATAGTATACTGTACATCATGGAAACAAATACTGCTGAGTTTCTATACAAGTACTGTGTTGGACCCACTGGTGATCTCATTGATACAGGTATAGCCCATTGACAGAGCTCAATGGTCATGGATCTTTACCTTTCTTATGAGAACTTTAAGAGGATCGACTGGCTTATGTTTCCCTTTATAATCCAATCAGAGCACAACATGTGACTGTAAGGCTTCACAAACATGTGAGGATAAATTAAAGATTCGGGCTCGACGTACTAGCCTCCTCTGTTACACCCTTTACATGATTCTCAACTTGGTTGCATCATTAGCCATTAAAACTCTCGTCAATAATGGTGACATGATCACAGCTTAAAATTATAATTATCACTGGCACTCCTTGTACCTTGATCATGTGTAATTACAGTAATTTCTGATTACTTTCCCCTCATTAGCTTTCATTAACTCAGAAGTGACATCAGCTCTGATACTGGGGTTCCTGTAATGTCACTGAGCCTGCAGGAGTAAAGATTTCCAAGCTTAAGTATTAATATCCGTCAGTTCCTCCTCTGCTAGTTTCAGCTCCCTCCTTTCTTACCTGACAGCTGAATGAGCTCATGGTACACTATGATGTCCTGGGGGTCGTTCAGGTTGCTGGCCAGCGTAACCACGTCAGAGCCTGTGAACTTGTTTGCACCGTAGATTGCTTCCTTTTCCCCATCAGTCCAGAAGACTCGATCCTGGACAAAGGGCAGAAGAATAAACAAAAAACAAAAACTTTAACACTGAAGTCCTCTCAATCACAGCAATACAAAACTTCCATAAATCACTGTCATCACACAAGTGCTTAAGTGCCAATAAAGTGTCAGCTTTGTGTCATTACAAGAAAACTTGCTCCCATTAAGATTTGGGCAGATTTGTACACTGATGAAAACTTAGTGCTTTAGTGCTAACTCTGTTACAAAATTTCAGAATAAAGCCAAAGTAGCACAAGAAATGTATTCCCTTCAGGAAGCAATACATGACTTCTTAAAAAGTAAATCATAACTTAAGTCCTCCAACACCACGTTTAATATGACCCATTAAATTATCAGAAACAATTTCAGTGCCATAACATACCAACATTTATACATCTTAGAAACAATTACATGTCATTTGTTGTGATATTGTTTTATACCAATATAAAATAAGAGTTAATTCTACAATAATCTGTAAACAGAGTAGCCCTTCAACAATTGTAAGAAATTTATGAATCCACAGTAATACAAGTCACATCTGCTCAGAGCATGTGTGGTGTTCCTGCACTGCACGCAAAGTTGCATCTAAATATTCTGATGAAGCTGCCACATGGCTTTTGATGCTTACGTTAAGCCTGTTCATGTGTTAATATATTAAAATATAAAATAAGGACGAGGACTTTTCATAATGACTGAACGCGATTTAACCCCTGAAAAGCTTTATGGACAAAATAAAGAAATTTTGCTTCAACATAAATGTTCCTGATGATATTAAATGGATGGATTTTTATAAACTGCTGTTAGGAGAAATCTGATGATCGTTTTAGACCTCATGCCATCGTGTGAATAAATGTGCCATCACATCTATACTTTTACACAGAATACCTGAAAACCCCACACAAACACATGGGAAAGTCTTTATTCAAGAACTGGAAGGTAAAAATGTACACAGAACACTCGATTTGAAAGGTAATATATCTTCTAGTTGTTTTGCATGTTGTTAAACACAAACAACATCAAGTGTTTTGGTGGACACTAAAACATGTCAACACTGTACCTGCACATTGCAGTTCTATAAAATATGCAAAAGACAGATTTAAAAAAAATTTTTGGTTCATTTTCCATTAGTCTGCATATAGTTGCTGTGTGGGTCATTGGCAGGTCACATACAATACACATTGAGGGCGACTGGGTTGATTAAAGGATTTTGTGCAACAAAACTCTTTATCATACTTGTACATGGTTTGAAGCTGGGAGCAGCTTTTCCTTTCCTGTGTTTGATTTTTGTAATTTTACTTCTTAAAACTAGGACCAGTTTGTTTTGGTAGATGAAACGTCATCAAGGACAAGGCAACTGGCACCAAAGACACATTTAAAAACATGCAAATAAACTCATGTACACAGGCGATGAGGTCTGTAGCAAATTTTCCCAGACAGATTTCTTAAATGCAGTGTGCAATAACTGATTGTGTCATGAAACCAATTTCCTGGATCAGAACTAAGTTTTTAAAAAGTTTTGTTCATTATCCTCAGACATGTGATGTAAAGCGCTCTAATGCCCAACATACAGGTCAGACAGTTCATCTTCCAGCTGTCAACATAAACTGACCCAGACTGGCTTAGAGAAAAGACAAATGCAGTACCTCAAAAACGGTGAGAGCAAAGGGGTGAGCGAGGTACTCTGAAGACTGGAGCACTTTATTCCTGTTGTCCCCGTTTAGATCGACGCTACAGAGCATGTGCAGCTTTGAGTCGACCCAGTATAACCTGCCTTTGATCAGATCTGGGGTAAAAAGAAAAAAAAAAAAAGGCAGAAGGCAGAAATTAAATGGGAAGACTAAAGAAGGGAGAACAATGGGAAGGAAAGTAGAAAGCAGACAGAAAAATAAGCGGAATGAGATGAAAGATTAAATTGTTGTACTGATGATTCTTTAACAGGATGAATCAACTGACTTTTAGTCTTAATGGTGCAAACGTCACAAAAGAAAGCCGCACTGCAGTTTGTTTACCCATTTCTTTCTGTGAAAGGTCACTGTCCAAGTCAATTTAAAACACCAAGCATTTCCTGTAAGGTATTTTCAAGCTTTCCAGCACCTTGTAGTTATTGTAAGTATATACTGAGATTACACCACTTTACTAGAAACAATGTAACAAAACAATCAGATGAATGAGAACTTTTTAAAACACATTAACCTAGGAGTTGTGACATTTTTGGAAACAATGTATAAAATGAACATTGACTCAGACTGGTTTGTACAGGCACATATTTGAATCCGTATTTCACCAGAACGCCTGACTAACCTACAGCTGCTACAGCAACATAACCATCACTTCGCAACAAAACAAAACAAAACTAGCCTATTGATTAGTATTACTATGAATTCACCAACTCTGTTAAACTGAATACATAATGATTCAGCTTATTTAATGTAAAATCGCCCTAACTACATCCCTTATGTTGTTACTGGTTAAAAAAAAAAAAAAAAAAAAAAAAAAAAGACTCTTCTTAGAGACTGCACAATTGGTTACTCAGAATTTAGCTTACAAAATTGATTGAAAAGGAGGCCAAAGTCAAGCCAAAGTTCATTCAAATTGCATGTTAAGTCCCACACATAGTTCCATCAGAGGGCAAACATCAAAGACTGACAGATCACACAATAGACTCAAACAACAGCAAGCCAGGCTCGAGCAGCGTCCTCTTCAAAGATTCTCTGCAACTCATTTTCTTCTTTCTCATTTACCTCCTAAGACCTGAACTCTTCCATGGCATGCATTTTTAATTTCTCTTTGATATTTGGGCTGATTGGGTCCTGATGAATGTAAAAACAAAGAAATTACCAGATTTTTTTTTTTTTTTTTTGTTTCTAAAGAAAAGAGCCAAATATGAGTATTCGTTTAAAATTTTGATAGAACAGTAGCGGTATAATGTCCTCGTAAGTGGATATCAGGCCCTTGTAGAGCAAAATTGAGTATTTTGGTCTAAATAACCCAAAATGTGATGTCCACATATGTGGACGCCAGGTCCTAGGAGGTTAAAGAGTGAACTATTCAAATACCAAGCGATTTATAGTCAAAGTATTAAAATCACAGGCAGCTTAAGTGCTTGTGCTGAAATTCTCACAGTGACATCACTAAAATTTAAGACCAATCAAGACTGAATTTTAAGATTTTTTTTTTTTTTTTTTTAAATGACCTGTAGACACCCCAGACTTAAAGAAAAACGTGCAGTGACTTGTTGGTTTGTTCCTACCCAGTGTGATTCCATTAGGCCACTGGATGTCTGTCGCCACCAAAACCTGTCTGTCCACTCCGTTCATACCAGATTTCTCTATCTTGGCTGGCTCTCCCCAGTCAGACCAGTACAGAAACCTGTAGGACCGACACAATCATAAGTAAAAGCAGACCATCAGCGGGAGATCACAAGGGTTTCATCCAACACCAAAATGAGCCGTCCACTTACCCAGACAGCGGATCCACAGCAATATCGGCCGGTTCTTTGAGGCCCCTGTTGAACAGAACTTTCTGCTTGGTACCATTGAAACTGGCCACAGAGATGGTTTTGGTTGAGAGATCAGACCAGTACAAGTTCTTGTAGATCCAGTCCACAGCGATTCCCACTGGAGTCTGCACGTTGTCAATGACTTTCTTATGGGTGCCAATGTCTACACGCTTGTCCAGAAGAGTGCTGAGTGGAGAAGAGTTCAGCATCGGACAGATGCATAGAGAATTTATACATGTATACAGTTTTTCAAATGCTGCTAGGACTCCCAGTATATTATCCCTTCAGTCTGAGACCTCTATATCACATAAAATTCAAAACTATTGCAGGCAGCTCAGTAAAATAGAACCTTTCATTCTACACATTTAGATTTTTTTTGATGAAAATATCAAGCAGCTGAATTGCAACACGGCCACGAGGAGAAAAACTTACTGCTTTAACAGACCAGAGGAAAAATTTTAAGTTTACCTTACAAATAAAATCCATTTACCCTGTGAAGTTACAACTACATTGTGCTGCACTGTCAATGCCTCCCATAGTCCTACAACAATACTCTATTGCCCGTTTGCCTGCGTAATTCCCTCTAATCACCTACTACCCTACCTGTAGATCGCCTTCTGGCCCAGGTCAGCCCAGAAAATGGTCTGCTGGTCAAAGTCTGCATCCAGAGCCACTGCGTTTCTCTGCTGCTCCACAATCTGAGTGTACTCCTTCCTCTCCAGGCCCAGACGACGGATATCACGGCGGTTGGTGAAGATCAGGCATGGCTCCTTACCTGAGGACAGGAAAGGGGTTATTGAATGACGACAATCTTTCCAAAGTATTTTATGCCTTCCATTTATTGTTTAGGACAAATTATTGGTCACAGTTCTTAAAACTATTTTAAGAATTGGGATTATTGTGTGCTTAAAGTAGGAGCTTGTTTTCACCCATTGTTTTCTATTCATCAGTAAAGTAGTGGAAGGGAACAGGCGTCATCTTTGTCAACAAGCTGAACAATTAAGTTTTTTTTTTTTTACTGCAGAAACACATAAGACCTACAATGGATGACACCTGCAGCCAGATAACACCAGACCCCGTGTTGTCAAATACACAGTAGTACATCTCAGATTGTACATAACTCCTTCTTGCACCCCCCCGAAAAAACGACTTACAAATGAAAATGTTCAGCCGTGGTATTGTTGTGATCCTAAGCCTGCTTTGAAAATATACACCTTAAAAATCAATTCACCACCCAGCTCTAGTGCCAACCCATCATTTTCCCCATTAGTCCACAGAATTGTCATTCTGCTGGATTTTTTCCATAGCTGAAAGCTGCATTAAAACCACAGTGCTTACAGTTAATTAGCTTCACCCATTTAATACTAATGCAATCCAACAAGAGCCCTGTGTTAAAACGCTGCTTTCCACTCTGAAAGCCTTTCAGAAAAGAGAAACAGACCATTTCAACTTGTGGACCTTCATATGCTGTAAACATCCCTCCTCCTGACATTAAAGTGTTTTGTTTTTTTTTTTAGCAGCGAACAAGCCTAAAAGTTTAATACTGATTTGACATACAAAGGCACTATCATCACTTTGCATCTGCAAATTATGGACCATTTTGAGTCAATGGCGTGAACTTGCTGCGCTTCGGAGTGAGAGCCCACAGTATAGTGGTTGAACTCTATCACTTAGTTCTTTTGGGCTGCAAACTATATTACTGTTGGCAATAAAGGAGCTGGAGAATCCGAGTGAACTCCCCCCCCAAAAGAATAAATAGATCTGTGGGTGTGTTTTCAGCACTCTTACCTCGATGTATCTGAAGCAGTTAGTCAACTAAAGCCTCAAAGCTGCTGGTTATAAGCAATGACAAACCAAATGCAACGCCTACAATTTTCTCCCACACAGAGTCTTCAGACACTGAGTGTGAATCACTAGATGTTTTTCTGTCTGGCAGCAAATCATACGCACACCAAAGGTCATAACCCTGATCAGACATGAAGCTGCCAGTTCAGTCACATCAGCAATCTGTAAGGGTTCAGTGTCATCTAAAGCCACTGCAGCTCAGACACACTGGATGCAGCCGTTTGTGAAAAGTAGAAGTGAGGCTCAATTTTAGATCACGATGGACAAATCCAAGTTTTTGGGTCTGTACTGGACAGACGTCTCCATATATGAACAGTTACACATGTGAGCATCAAAGTGACTCCACTGCCCCCCCAGTACATGAATATATCCTGAAATGTCTTTTCTGCCATGAAGATGATATTTCACCATAATCTTTCAAAAGAGCCCAAGTTTGCATTGCTCAGGACTATTCCTGCAGGATCTGAGGGGTCAGCTCAGACTCTTGCTACTTATCAGGAGACGAGACCCATTTCCACAATACTTTACAAGACACCAAATTTTTTGTTTAGCTCGAGGGATGCAAAACACCGTATTATCCAGAGATCGGGACCCAGACAGTGGCAGAGCCAACAATATAGACAAAAATATGATCAAAATGTTGAGGTGAAATTTTAATAAGTTCACCCAGCTGCTAACTCACCAACAGCCTTGCAGACGCCGGTGGTCGGATCCATCTGATAGCCGTTGTGGCATTCACACTTGTACCCTCCCTTCAGGTTGATGCAGATCTGACTGCAAATGCCAGGATTCATGCACTCATCGATATCTGCAGAAGAGTAGCAGAAAGGCGAATCATGAGGCGTGTGTGAAGAAAGAACAGCTGTATGTGGCATGTTTCATCTATCAAATCTGCTAAATGCCTCAGTTTGAATAATCAAATCTTTCTTTGGGGGCTCAACAGCTGTATAGTCCGTGTGTATTGATGAAAATTTATCTTGCTTTTCAAAAATAGGATGTTCCTGGGATTCCTACTGCATGAGAGTGTAAAGTGATTTGAGCCTCGAATACACAAAATGCAAATTAAAACTTGCTTTAATTGCCGCTGATGTTTTGCCAAAACACTCGACGAGCTGCTCTCATCAGAATTAGATGTAAATTTATCAAACGTTTTCCAGAGTTTAGTGATCATTCTACATCCTGGAGTAGATTAAACGCTTCTGTGGAACCAGTGGGGTTCATACAGATGGGATTATACACGTTTAGCAAATATCCAAAGCAGGGTTTGAGGCCAAGATTGGCTCAATAACAGAACTGTGACGGATCAGTGCCTCCTAAACGTAACCAAGAGGATTTCTGCTTTTAGGAAAACAGATTACGACACGCCCAATCACATTACACGCCAAACCCTTCAGAGGCCAGAAGTGCATAACACCACCAGCCCATCTGACCCATGTGATGATATTTGAGGGCAAGCATAATTAAATATTCCTTAAGTCTTAAAGGTTTTAGATTGAATTCAGTGTATTAAAGTTGTTTGGTTTTTGGATGGATGCCTATACTTGTGTACATTCAGACAGTCTCACACTTTTGAACCCTTTTAGAAAAATGCATTCATCCTGTGTTGAGTAAGAGTTTCCCAACGCTAAATACTGCAGTGTTGTCAAAACTGATTTAAAATTTTCTTTTAGCATTTTTCACCAAGCTGTGTAATGCAGAGATCGCATACCTCCGCAGGTCTTGTGGTCTATAAGCTGGAGCCCAGGCGTGCAGTCACACTCGTAGCCAATCACCATGTCTTTACAGATGTGCGAGCAGCCACCGTTGTTCAGGAGACACTCGTTAAAATCTGGAACACAGGAAACAGCTCTGTAGTTGTGTCCAATTAGATCTAAAAGGTTACGATAAGGTGGTTTGGGAGAAGTCTGAGTCGAAGCTAAGCGAGGATTGTATTCACTGAAAGATCTTCAAACCACAAGAGGTTTGAATATCATGAATTGGCATTTGTTAGTAGACTCAGAGGGTGGAACACAATATGGAAAAGCCCCATAACTTAAGAAAAACATTTAAAACCAAAAAGGCTAAAACGTGCATCAGTAACCTGTGTGGACGTGAAGCAATGTACTGTGTAAGGTAGCCAGAAGATAAGCAACCAATTGGAAAACCAGAGTGATGACGAGCGACTGTTCAGACATTCCCAATTTTTAATATTTTGCTTCCAAGGAGAGACACTAGTTATTCTCAAAGCTTTTAAATGTCTTTTAAAGGTTCTTTGGACACCAACTGCTTTTTTACTCATTTTTCAGAGCAATGTTTGTTAAGACACTTATTTGCCTGTAGTATGTAGTGGTAACTAAAAGGCACGAACCAGTGTTGTGTTGAGGTCTTTGGAGCATCAGTGCCATAATGAAAGCTGGGTAAACAGGTGTGGCCTAATTTCTTTTAAAACTGCTTTAAAACAAAACTGCAATTTCATCCTGTTGTATTAAAGGAATCTGGCTTTCTGAAGTTGTCCTCTTGTTCTTTATACATCAAGCATGTGTATGAAACAGGCAGCAACAAGAACCAACAACTGCTATCCTTGTCAGGATTAACCTCCTTTAACATGCACTTGGCTGACCATCATTTACATCAGCACAAAGTCAAAGGCTGTACTTACAGCACAAAGACCATGTTTGTAATTAGTGCGCTTGTTGAAATCTTAAAATGCACAACTATAATTATTATGAGAATAAACCCAACAGCAGGGAGAGACTATCTCCCAGAACCCTGCAATCACAACAGTAAGCACATGTTCTGGGTGGTCAGAGCAAATCTCTAAAAACCTCCCGAAGCTGAAATAGAAGAAAAATGAACCAAATGCATGACAAACTGAAGAAAATCCCTCAGCATGGCATCAGCTTAGAAGCTGGCGTAAACTTCAGATCATGGTGCTTTAGTTTGTCTGTGGGCAGAGAGCGTCAGTACAGAGATGGCTGAAATTCACCATCATTAAGAACATACAGTGTGATTTATTAAGGTGTAAGGCTTAATAAATCAACACTGTATGTTTTAAGATGGCTGAAATTCACTCTCTGTACTGACGCTCTGCCCACAGACAGTGTGATTTATTAAGGTGTAAGGCTTAATGAGCCACAGGCCAACATCCTTTCACGTGCTCAAGCTACAGCTGTTATTATTTCTGGGGGGTGGGGTGGTGGTGGTTAGGATGTCACCATTGCTTTTCATTTCAGCACTCTGAACACTTGTTTGGCCACCAAGGATAAGTTTTATGTACCCCAATATGCATTTTGACAATGTACACTAGTTCTGTACAACAATCTGTAACATTCTTACATAAATAGTCATGAATTGTCATGCAAATTTGTCAAGGTTACTTCATGAGTGATTGTAGATTTCTTTTTATATCATTTCCAGATCTTTTCATTTGTTTGAGCTGCAGCTGAATTCATACATTTAGTATTCCGATTGTGGAAAGCCTGATAGTCACTTTTGGTTGAGTTGTTTGATCCATGAAAGAGAATTATTTAGACCTGAACTGTAGGACTCATGAAAGATTCATGGACTGATTTACGTAAAAAAAAAAAAAAATCTCCACATATTATCAGCATAAATCCATGTGTAGCACAGAGGAAGGAATGTCATTGCCTGAAATAAACTCTCCCGGATACTTTCAGGCCCGCGGGAAAAGACATCTGAATTCGCTGAAAAGCAAATCTCCTGAACACGTTTCATCTTTTCATTGCAGTGAAGCATCAATGTCAAAATCAGAAAAGGAGCAAGTCTGTGACCTAAGAGGGGCATGACCCAGAGTTGAAAAATCAGTCATGTATGAATTCAGTTACATTTTTTAATTAAAAAAATAAAAATGAACACTTACTGCATTCCTTGATCGGTTCATCGCTCCAGTCGGGACAGTCTCTGACCTTGTTGCACACTTTGCTCATCTCTATGCACTCCCCGCTGCGACACTTGAACTTCTCTGGACCATTACACTGAGTCACTGCAGGGAGGAGGAAGGAGTAGGAGGAAGAAGAATAACCTCATTCAACATTTGGATGTTTGAGTCAGAATTAAAACATGAAAGCAGGGAGTTCAGGCTAGTTGTGGTTGTGCGATGATGTAGGGGATGGGCACACTCTGGGCTCCTTAGTACCAACTGAGCGTGGCTTAAACATCACAGGCTGCGTGTGTATCGCTACTCCATCCCTTTATGTCTACAATGAACTCATCAGATGGCTGCTTCCAACAGGACAATGCACCATGTCAAAGCTCAAACTGGTTTTTGAACATGAAAATTTGTGACACTGTTTGAGTACAGTGAACTCAAACGGCTTCTAGCATCACCAGACCTCAAACCAGAAGAGCACCTTTGGGATGTGGTTAAAGACCTCAACTGTTTGATGCCATCATGTTAACATGAAACAAAATCTCAGTAAAACCTAAAATCCATACAATTAAATATCAAAGGCAGTTCTAAAGGCAAAAGGAGGCAAATACAACTATGGAAGGTTGTACTTAAACTGCTTTAGGGCTTGTTGTAGGCCCTCAGTCTATCCTGTGTGAAAATTAGCTCCTCCCCCTTTAAGCCAAATTTCTTCTCATTATCTGCCCCTAAACATCCTGGAAAAGCACATGTGGGCAGAGCTTCTAAACTCAAAGCCAAAGGTGTGTGCCTGACCCATTTTACAGGACATCTGCTCTCAGACACGCGTCTCACAGGGATTATATGCACTAACCTCATGGTTTAAAACTAGACTTGTTTAAAATAAGCATTCAGCGCTTTAAAAAGCTGAAGTTGCTTAATATTCATTAATTTTTCCATCTGTCAGAGTAAATATTACATAACAAATGTAATCACAAGTTTCTAAAACTACACTGGAGCAAAATCAGTAAAAGATAATTGGTTTGTTTGTTTTTTCACTGAATATACATCTTCTAGATTAGGACACAAAAATGAAACTGCCACAAATCTGGAGAGTGACAGCTTTCCTTTGAAGAAACAAGGAGCACCACCTGAGGTTGACTGTTACAAAAAAAACCCTGAAAAATGTCAACATTTGCATGTCCAGAGCAGCTTTAAAATTAAACACTGTTGGTACCTCAGGTGAGCCTCAAGATGTAGAAATGGAAACTTGCATGTTGTAGAAGAATTCCCCCCCAAAATAAAAAAACAAACAAAAAACCACATCCTGATAATGCACTCAGGTGATAAGTTTGTGAACATTCACACCAACACACAACACTTACTGTTTCTACAGTTTGCTTCGTCTGATCCGTCTGCACAGTCTCTGAGGCCATTACACTGTCTGCTGCCCAGGATGCAGTTTCCATCGTCACATTTGAACTGATCCGACCCACAGGTGCGAACAGCTGCCAAGGACAAACATGAGTTGCACATGTGCTGACATGGGCTACTCTTTAAACACTAAACATTTGTGAATATTCAGTGAACCATTCAAAATCCATTCATCAGTGCAGAATAACTAAAATACCCAAGTTTGAGTTCAGCCAATTTGTGATAGCTGTTCACTCAAAGAGGAGTGAAAAGAAAAACATCACTAGATAATTATGTTTGTATTCATGAGCACCATATTAAAATTCAGCCACGAAAGCTCTTGTAAGTAAAAAACAAAGCCAATTAAAAATGTGCAGATGACTGACATCTTGTTTTGTTTTTTGACTGAATCCTAATCACAGCATGGATTAAAGTGGAGAGCATCGACTGATAGGCAACGAACAGATTATCAGGTAATTAATGGAAGAAACGTAGGAGCGTAGCACCCACAGCTGGAGGGTTTGTTTTATTAAACCTCTTTAACACTGAAATAATTTAAGCCAGTTTATACCAAACATTTTCCTTTGATACAGATGAAATGAAAACAAGTGAAAGCCAAGTTTTCTACAGAAGCAATACTGCTAATCTGTTCTGTAGAAATTGATACTCAGCACTTGTTAGAACAGCTGTTTGATGCTATATCCAAGTGTGCATCCACTTTCTGCCATTTATCTGCGTTTGGCTAACAGAGGGCAGCGATCTGAGCAGAGATTACCAGACCTGGGCGCTGGACTTCCTCACTGGCAGAACTCAGGTGGCGAGGGTGGGTAGATGGGCTAACAGCATCACCATCAACACAGGAGCACCACAGGGATGTGTCCTCTCGCCACTGCTCTACTCCCTCTACACTACAGACTGTGTGGCCACCCATGGCTCCAACACTATTGTGAAGTTTGCTGATGACACAGTGGTGTTGGGTGCCATCTCCAACAATGAGGTGGCCTACATGGACGAAGTGAAAAATCTGGCATCATGGTGCCAGGACAACCACCTCCAGCTGAACGTCGGCAAGACCAAGGAGCTGGTGGTGGACTTCAGAAGGAGTCAGCACAGAGACTACAAGCCCATTATCATCAATGGAGCTCCAGTGGAGAGGGTGCAGTCCTTCAAGTATCTTGGTGTCCACATCTCCTCAGACCTGACATGGGCTGCCCACATTCAGGTCCAGACCAAAAAGGCTAGGCAGCGCCTGTATCACCTACGACAACTGAGGAAGTTCAGGGTCTCTCCAGAGATCCTCAGGATTTTCTATACAGGCGCTGTGGAGAGCATCCTCACACAGAACATGACATCGTGGTTTGGGAACAGCTGTGTGAAGGACCAAAAAGCTCTCCAGAGAGTGATCCGTACAGCAGAACGCTGCTGCAGGATTGCTCTCCCCCGCTTCAGGACACCTACACCAGGAGATGCCGGACTAGAGCAGCGCAGATACTGAAGGACCCGTCCCATCCTGGCAACAAACTGTTCCAACTTCTGCAATCTGGTAGAAGGTTCAGCATCTTCCGGGCAAGGACAGAGAGACTCAAGAGGAGCTTCTATCCCCAAACCATCCGGGCCCTGACACACTAACTCATGCTCCCTCTCACATCATCCATAAGTGACTGAGAGGACTCTTTTAGACACTAAACCACTAAACAATGTACATTTCAAATTCCTTTAATTTTAAATATGTTCATATTGTCTCTTCTTATTTAATTCACTTAATGTACAGAATTCACCTGCTTGCGACATACAATGCTACTACTGCACATTCACCTAATGTATATAATATTCTTCCTCTCACCCCCCTTTTGCACAAGTCGAGGAGCGTGTCAGGTTACATTTCACTGTGTTATATACACACTTGTATAACTATGCATGTGATGAATAAAGAACCTTGAACCTCCCCTCAGAGGACTACAAAGGAATTCCCAAGCCAGCCGAGAGACACTCTCTCCAATGTGTCCTGGGGTCTGTCTCAGGACTGTTTCCCCTGTAAGACATGCCCAAAGCTACTCAACTAGGAGGTATCCAGCAGGCATCCTAGTAAGATGTCAAGCACCTGAACTGCCTCCTTTCAATGTGGAGGAGTAGGTGCTCTATGCCAAGTGCCACCAAAATAGTGGGTGATAATCGTTGTGTGACCATTTCACTTTATGTGCAAACAGAAGCTCCACCCGCTGGCTGTTGGGAAAAGCTACCCATCAGAACAACACTGGATCAAATGGAGCTGGAAAGGAGCCCAAACTGCTTGTTTCAGATAGAGGATAAACTACAGCTTACTGTCCAGTATCAGCTAAAGATTATTTGGGATTGTGAATCACGCAAAGCTTGTGTACATACGACAGTTCGCTTCGTCACTGCCGTCCTTGCAGTCAGAGTCTCCGTCACACCTCCACTTCTTGTGAATGCACTCTCCTGAGCGACACTGCATCTCGCTGGGCGAGCACTTGGCTGGGGGTGTTGGGTGCCGACCACAGCGGGATGGAGACTCATCTGATTGGTCCTGTTAGGACACAAGGTGACTTTTAGGGCACTGCAAGAGCTGATACTCATTTACTTTACAGAGAAACTGACATGATCATATTATAGGACCTCCTGATTGGTTAAATGGTGTTAAAGTGTTTTGCGATGTTTATTTCAGCAAATATTCAGTTTGCAAAATTTTCTATGTGCAGTTTTCTTGCCTCTTCTAGCAATTTTCTGGAAGGGAGCCTGCCATAAGTAAAAGTAAATACCAGTTACAATGGAAAACAGGTTATAATAAAGTGTTTGATCTTACGCAACCATCAGATTAAAGACTGCCAGCAGGAGCAAAAAGCAAACATGTACAGTCTAAAAAGGACATTTGTCTTCTTGGTCAGTGCTAGTTATCAAAAAACACACTACACAATTTAAATGACTGTTTAAAAAAAAAAAAAAAAAAAAAAAAACAACAACCCAAACAAACCACAAATTCAAACCGCTTCTATTTGACGTGGTCTTTGGAAGGGTTTGGAAGACTTGTCTGTTGAATTGTGTTGAGTTTAAAGTTAAGCACAGCCATGTCATGAGAATAAAAGCACTTAAATTTTATTTGAAACGAGTGCCTTGGAGTTCTTTGATTTAGCATATATAATTTAGTCAGTTTTACACTTTCAATCTGAAGCTTTCATTAAGAATTGAAGCTTTTGAATAAATCCCCTGGAAATGCACAGTGCTGACCAAAATTACATGTAAATTATATAACGAAAAGCTGAAATTTAATGGTTCCAGCTTTTTAAATGTGCAACTCTGCAATACTTTTACATAATTTAAAGGTCTGAGGTGTTGGTTGAACAAAGCATCATTGTAGTGGTGTCAGACTCCGCTCTGACTGTCTTGGACTTTTGAAAGCTACAGAGACCACCCGTGGAAACCATTCATCCTTTCAGTTGGGCAAAAATCATAATTCAGGAGGTTTTTGGGGACTTGAGACTGCTTGTTAGAGAAAAAAAACAAAAAACCAAACAAAAGTTAATAGTCTAACAGCCGTTGTGCCACCTCAGTTGCCTGACAGAAACTCCCAATTTGCACAGCAGTACAGCAACATTAAGTCCCTCCAGCTGATCCAAGCAGACAGAAAAGATTTGCCAAGCCAGGTGTAACAACACTGTTTGCCACACACGAGCAACTCATGTTGACAATATTTTATTTTTAAAATGATGCCGACTGACAAAGCCTCCATAAAGTAATTTCACTGAGGCATCCTGGAGTATCAACAGCTGTGGGTGATGGAGCTGAGGGTGAAGGTTTCTTTACATTATTCCAGTAGATAGGAACAATCTGAAGGCACAGACTGCCTCCCTTCACCATTCATAAATACAACAGGTCTGAACTCTAGTTAATTTTGCAGAGAAGCAACATTGAGTGCATCATCCTAAAGTTTTGTTGGCAAACTCCCAACTCAAAATTGTGTCTAACTTAAAGCTAGTAAACCTGGCAGGGAGAACTGATGGCTCAGACTCAGTTCACCTATCAGGCAAGCCGGCTGGCCAGCCATTTGCTTGTCTAGGCTACTGATGATGTTCGTGGCAATGACAGGTGTGTTTTTTTTTTTAAAAACAAAAAACATTCTCTGGCCATCAGCAGCTTATTTCATATTAAAGTGTGAAATTGAGGTTTAAGTCTCTGTAATCTGAAATACAATGTCTGACTAAAAAGCAAACGAGTCCTTTATTAAACCAGCTCTGAAACAAGTTAAAACAAGCACATCTGTTATGTAATACTTTAATACAAACTTATTTACTAGGGTCTGGTTTGAGTGTATGAGAAACTTTAGTCAAGCTGCATGTCAAAGGCCATTTGTGGGTTTTATAATTCTAATGAGACATTTTAAAACTTTTAAACCAAGTTTTGCACCATCAGCCACTGAAGGACAGAGCCCAGACACATACACACGGTTCCTCTCACACTATTATTTACATATGATCTGGAAGTGGAGGGGGCATACAGGTCACAGATGACATAGCCAGAAGCATTTAGCACTTAGATCTCTGATGATTAGCTCATTAATTAGAATTAATCTCTGCCAAACAGACCAGAACAGGAGCAAGAGAAGCAGCACGAAGGAGTTTCTCACACTTTCATCATCTCACAAAGTCACCGACTCACATGGGAGCAGATTAATGGAGTGTGAGAACGCATGTGTCTGCTGCTCCGTAATACTGACACAGGGCAGGCGGGGTGTGAGAAGCAGAGAGGGAACAATAACGACATTCCCACTGAACACAGCCCTTTAAATATTTGTGGGAGTGAGTGTTTGTGTCCGGTGAGCCAATTAATGGGTATGCAGCATATTGTTGCATCAGTAGAACTTGTTCTGCAGTGTGTGAAAATATTTGTGTGTGAGGCAGGTCAGAGGCTGCTGGGTGGTACGACTAAATTAAGCTTGCAAAACTGGTGTGCATGGATGTGCGCGCCTAGGGATGTCATACTGCTTTCTTTACAGTGAGGCCACACCCATTTAGGAAATGAGGGAGTGAACTTTGCATCTTTGCTGTACACCTGAAATGCATGTGGATTTTCCCATGCATTTCAGGTGTACAGCAAATTTGAAAAAGTTCACTCCCTCATTTCCTAAATGGGTGTGGCCTCACTGTAAAGAAAGCAGTATGACATCCCTAGGCACGCACATCCATGCACACCAGTTTTGCAAGCTTAATTTAGTCGTGTTGTTTATTTAAACTTGAGTATGAACTTATACAAAAAGCAGCAAGATATTAAAAAAAACTGTTTTATTGATTAAAAACACTATATCGGATTCATATCGGTATCGGCAGATATCCAAATTTATGATATCGGTATCGGACATAAAAAAGTGGTATCGTGCCATCTCTACTGCAGATACTTGAGGCTCAACAAAAACACCTGAAGACAAAGTGAAGATGCAAAGCCAGAGTCAGGAAACCCGAGTTTTAACTCTGCATGTCTCAGTCACAGATTTTGCCTATTCAATGTAGGATCTTAAAATAAAGTTTTAATGTTATAAAAGAAAAGACTGATTTAGAAGAGACCAGATTGTATTCATGTACAAAAATGTTTCCTCATAAAAAGGAAAGAGTGAGCTTAAGCTTTTATCAATCATGTGAAGAACATCAGTATTTTAAGGATAGACTAAAGTTTGAGTTGACAATGCATATAAAGGGTCAAGTATTACAAGAGCAGAAAATGATTTAATACCTCTTCATGAATACGTATAGTAAGTATCAGTTAATAACTATGTGGGGGTGTTAAATATCGGACCATTGATTGGCAGTCTGTCTCAAATTAAGACCGTATCCCTACTGCAACCCTGACAAAGGTTCTCTTTTTACTATCTTGATGTAAAATGATTTGTCATGTCCATCCATTTCATGGAGTTTGCCATTATTCAGCGCCTCCTCTGAATCAGATTTCAGTTCTGGCATTCAGTGTTCTCTAGAATAAAGTGCAAGATCAGATTTGTGTCATCTGACATGTGACAGATGCATCTCCCCTCCAGCTTGTGTGTGGGTGTGTATAATGCTGACACAGGAGGAGCCCTGTGACCAGTTAACTCAGCGAGTTTGCAGTTTCTGGATTGGTGCACTCGTTGTCTGCAGCCGACATCCCCCTCATCCCTCTCCTCACCTCTACTGCTCCCACTGAAGAGCCAGCATTCATTTCTCTGTTTTGTCCATACGACCGTTTTAAAGACAGATGTTAAAACTGACATCATCCACTGGGTTTCAACTCCACATTTTGGCACTACATCTGTAGAATTTCAGTTGCTGTCATGGTAGTTTGTTTGGTACCAGAAGTAACCATTTTTAGATCAGAGGGTGGCGTGCACTGTGGAAGTTGAACAGCAAGCTGGAGTCATAATATGGTTGTGCTGATGGATGTTGTCAGTGACCAATTATGGTCAAAAATAAATGTCAATTATATCAAGTGTTTGATCCACATGTTGTCTATAGTATAGCACCACAACAACCTCCTTTGCTGCCCAGCAGTGATGCCACTGGCGACGCCACAGTGGTACTGTACCGCTGTATCTTGTAATTCTAATTAGTTCAAGATACTAACACTAGAATTTCACTCTAAACACAACTTTATCACACACACTTGGACAGATCATTACACAGCAGCCAATTCTATTCTAAAATCCAATTTTAAAGAACACGAGACTGTGGAAACTGCTTTTGGCACATCTGTGTTGGCTTAATGTTTTGGCCCTGGAGGTTGCAGCTGGGTTGTATTCATTAGATTTAATAAATTTGGGTCCTAAAAACAAACACTGATCTGGGTTCGACACAATCTCACAACACTGTCAAAACTTGCCTTTGACTTTCTATGAGAATAAGCAAATAAGTGCTAAAAAGCTACACTGGTCAAAGGTCAGGTTTACTGATCAGAACACCATAAGAATTTTATCCTACATGGGTTGTTTAGTTTGAATCAGCATAACACCAAAACACTTCCTGCCATGCGACCATACTTTAGTCAGACTCTAATCATCTGCTCCCATTAATAAATAACTGAGACAGGCTGGGTCACAAGGACCATATTCAGTTAAGAATTGTGTCAGAGTGCGTGTTGCAAATTAGTGTGTGGCATTCTTTCTTACCTGGCAGTCAACGTCATCGTCACACACCCAGCTGGCCGGGATGCATGAAGAGTTTCCACACTGGAACTCACTGGGCCCGCAGGAGGACGGCGCGCACTCCACCTCATCCGAACCATCGCCGCAGTCATCCTCGCTATTACACACAAAGTTCCGGGAGATGCAGCGTCCACTGGCACATGTAAACTCATTTGGGGCACATGTGATGTTTCCTGGAGAGGGTTATGGGAAAAATGTGAGTGTGCTGTGAAAGGACTGACAGCATAG